GAGACGCTACCTAACAAAAGGCCCTTGTCAACCACTTGAACATAATTTTCCGAAAACTAGTTTTGGTGCAAATATGAGATCATTTCAAAAGACGCGGTTTGCTCAATATAATTGGCTTGAATATAGTATTCAGAAAGATGCTGCTTTTTGTCTACTTTGCTATCTATTTAAACAAGGTAATACACACGGTGGAGATGATGCTTTTACCGATGTTGGATTTTCAAACTGGAAGAATGCTTTAAAAAAATTCAAGGAGCATGAAGGGGGTTTAAAAAGCACACATCATTATGCTACAATTCAAAGTTCGGCATTTAGAGATCAAAGACACAATGTGGATTATGTGTTATCACAAAAGAGCACTCAAATGGAGATCGATTATCGTATTCGGCTAACGGAGGTCGTGAAGGCTATTCGGTATCTTTTAGGGGAAGGTTTGCCATTTCGTGGACACGACGAGTCACAAGATTCAATACGACGAGGTCATTTTCTTCGACTTTTGAAGGTGTTTGGCGATCTTAATGAAGAAGTGAGCAAGGTCATTAACTCAAACGCTCCCGGGAATAACCAGATGACTTCTTCAAAAATTCAGAAGGAAATTATCAACGTTTGTGCCACAGAGGTACGGGAAGTCATTATCAATGAACTTGGAGATAAGTCTTTTTCTCTTTTGATTGATGAAGCTCGAGATGCTTCAATAAAGGAACAAATGGCTGTGGTTCTGAGATTTGTGAACGATCGGGGAGAAGTGATTGAGCGATTTATGGGAGTCGTGCACGTTAGTGACACTTCGGCGCACTCTTTGAAAAGTGCAATTGATGAATTCTTTGCCAAACATGGATTATCACTTTCTAGACTTTGAGGTCAAGGTTATGACGGGGCTTCCAACATGCGTGGTGAGTTTAATGGTCTTAAAGCTCTCATTTTAAAAGAAAATAAACAGGCATACTATGTCCATTGTTTTGCTCACCAACTTCAATTAGTGGTTGTAGCAACTTCAATTGAGAATAGGGATCTGGGGAATTTTTTTGATTATCTTGTTAGAATTGTGAATCTTGTTGGAGCTTCGTGTAAAAGGATGGATGCTATTCGGGAAAAGCATTATAATGATGTTGCACGACGTATAGAAAGTGGTGAGATTTCTACAGAGACAGGCAAGAATCAAGAAACGATTTTAGCTCGACCGGGTAATACACGGTGGGGATCTCACTATAGGACAATCAACCGAATTTTGGAAATGTGGGATGCGGTACAAGATGTTTTGGATGGTATTATGGAGGATGCCACGGATTTTCAAAGTCGAGGCGTTGCTAAAGGTTTGGTTGATAAATCAGCAAGTTTTGAATTTGTATTCATTGCTCATTTGATGGTGACGATATTAGCAAGCACAAGCGCACTGTCAGCGGCCTTACAAGAAAAGACTCAAAATATTGGAAATGCTCTTGTTTTGATTAAATCGGTCAAGAAAGATTTGAGGAAGTTGAGGGAGGATGGTTGGGAGGATTTATTGATGAAGTCACAACATTTTGTTCTGAAAAAGGTATTTCTGTGCCTAACATGGAAGATCCTATGCCGTGTCGGCCTAGTAGATCTCAAAGAAAAGTGGATGATCAACCAAAGACTTATTTACATCATTTTCGACGGGAAATCTTCTTTCAGGTACTTATGTTTCTTTAATTTCATATTAACAAATAGTTTATCATTTATTATTATATGATTAATTAGCTTATTTTCTAAATATATTAGGTTATTGATCGTATTTTACAAGAGATAGATAGCCGTTTTGAAGAGTTGAGTTCAGAACTTATTCAGTGCATAGTATGTCTTGATCCTAGAGATTGTTTTGCAAGCTTTGATGTTGAAAGACTACTCCGCCTCGCTCAGCTTTATCCAAATGATTTTGATGATGAGCTCAAGCTAAAAGCAGAATTGAATCAGTTTCACGATGTAGTCACAACATCTGAGCGTACATTTTTCTCTGGTCTTCAGAGTATTGGAGACCTTGCAAAGAGAATGGTTGAGAGAAAATGGCACACTACCCTCAAGTTAGTTTATCGGCTCATCGAGTTGGCTCTAATTTTGCCCGTCGCGACAGCTACCATTGAAAGAGCCTTCTCCTCGATGAAAATTATCAAGACTGATTTGCGTAACAAGATGGGGGATGAATTTCTGACAGATAGTTTGGTGTGTTACATTGAAATGGAACTCTTTGAAAAAATTGAAGATGAAGTTATTTTACAGAGGTTTCAAAAGATGGCGTCCCGAAGAATACAGTTACCGCCTGTCAAATCATAGTCATTCTTCTCCCTCGGTCGGAAGTTAGGTTGCTTTCTTGTTTTAATGTTTTGTATAACATTATTTGAATGATATTTTAAATAGTTTTTGTTTAGTTTTATGTTTGTTTGGAATTATTGTAAAAAAAAAAAAAATTTGTTGTGGTCTAATGAAAAATCGGCCATCCCTTTATTCGGATTCTGGTTTCGCCACTGAGTGACGTGGTCAGTTTCGCTTGAATCTCGTTACAAAGGTCAACATGATTAACTCCATTCTCATTCACAACAGTGAAGTTGATTGAGCCTCCTTCAGAAAATTGATTTACATTTTGTTGGCCTTGAAAGTTTGAGTTTTGATTCTGCTTTGGAACAATATTGAGATAAGCTCTACAGTAACATTTATCAGCTCTGTGATTGTTGTCGAAGCATATCTATAACATCTAGGCCGACCTCTTTTTCCCCTTCCTCTAAAGGGTCCTCCTCTTCCTAATATGCCACTATTGGTGTAGTTTCCTCTTCTTGCAGGATGTTGGTAGTTTCCAGTACCTCTCCTAAAGCACCCCTTTAGTGGTAAATTTCATCAGTAACAAGGAGTGGATTAGAGCCGGTCCCTGCTATTATTAGGCCCTGGGCCAAATACGAAATAATGCCACATTATTTCTTTTATTAAAAAACAAACCGATGAAATTTATATAATATTAATAATTATCCAATATTTTTTCCCTATAAAATGAGGGAATTTATATCATTTGAAATAAAAAGTACTCAAAGGAAAAATTTATGTAATATCAACAATTATCTAACATACTTTTCCCTATAAAAAGAGGGAGTTTATATTATTTGAAACAAAAAGCATAGACTCCGAAAGGGAAAATTTATATATATCAACAATTATCCAATATTTCTTTTCTTATAAAATAAGGAACTTGTATCATTTGAAGAGAAATTCTATGGAGCCATCGGATGGTTCTCTTATGGAGTCATCCATAACTTTATGTACTGACACATGTTCAATGTGTATTTATTGCAGGACACGTGTCAATACATCATTTGTCAATAACTATGGATGGCTCCATAGCAAAATTGATCATTTGAAATAACAAGTATAGATAGACTCTCAAAAGAAACAATTGATTGTCGGTTGAATCTATACTTATATTAAAGGGAGTCCTATTTATCAAATTTAGTAGCTAGAAAAGTCAACAGTATTTATTGCCATTACTATTTCCGTATTATACAGTTTTTATTTAATATTTTTTTCTGTTACGATTTTTAAAAACAAATATGGTCAAATTCTCTCATCATTAATTACTTTTCATTAATTACAATTTATTTATTATTTTCTTAGCAAAAATGGACCAACATTAATTGATTTCCTTAAAATGTGGAAGTTGTTGCTTTATTTTTGTACAGAAAATCGGGCTTCATTATAGAAATTTGTTCAATTACACAATGAATTTTCTATGATATAATTATTTTTTATGGGATTTTTTTTAACAGAAAAATATGGCATTTCAATAAGATTTTCGATTTTTTTAAGATTGATCGTTATCATGCTATGAAATTGAACATTTCAATATACCTTAACAAAATATATACGTGGTGTATACATCAGTTAATAGAAATATAGAATACTCATATTTTTATATATATGTATGTAATTTTTCTATTACCAAATTTAATTGATAGTTGTTGTGTTATAGGTTTTTTCATAATTGTTACTTGGTTGTTGTGATATTTAGTTTGGTTGGTGTCGCAAAAATTCTAATCTGTATATATAATAAGAATAATCATTACAATGCAAATTAGAAAAATATTGATATTAGAAGAGATTGAGTTCATGGCTTTTCTTAAATCAAAGTTTATACAAAATTAAATTCTAAAAAATATATGTGTATATTTTCTACATTATTTATACACTATTTAATTTTAAATTTATTTACATATTTTAAATTGATTACTTATATAAATAATATCAACGTGCATTAAATATATTTCATTACATACAATAAAAAGAACAAGAAGACGTGTAACTTGTATAACTTTATAAATAATAATGACATTATATGACAACAAAGTTTAATAATTAACTATTATATAGTGAATAAGAATAAGTAAAATTATTATTTTCTCTTATATCAATGAATAAATATGTATAATAAAATTAAATTTATATTAGTATAAATGTGTTAGTGAGCTAATATATTAATTATTTTACAAGTTAGCCCTAACATGATTACGTTTAATGTTCTGACTAATAAAACAACGCTGATTAAAAGATGTGAAAATAATATTACAACCCTATTTTTTTTAGACTTAACGATGATTAAAAGAAGTGAAAAATAAATGATAACTCTTTTTTAGATTTAAACGAGACTTAACAATGATTAAAATAAATAAAAAATGAATAATAATCATTTTCAAACTTGAACAGACCGAACATGTGAAAATAACTCATTCTCTCCGTAAGGCTTCAACATAATAAGTGGAAGAGAACGCAAAGCCGTAGGGAAAGGTTAAGAGAAGCACATCGTCAACTCTCCACTCACACGTGGCTTCCAACTACGAAACCACGCATACACCCAAACAAACACGTGTACCCACCACATGCTACCTACATTCATATAAATTCGTAAACTGCTATATTCCGATATGCGTCGTATGATTATTTTGACTACCGACTTGTTAAACTCACCAGAAATTACTAAGCCGGAAATATTAAAAAAACACATGGCCTCTCTTGGGCTGTGGCACGGCGGAAGAAGCGGCGGCAGCGGCTGGAGCTCTCCCTTTTTCCACCCTTTTCTTCAGATTTGGACTCCTACGAAGCTGGCAGCGGCGGCCGTGGACACGTGTGAGCCATGGCTCACGCTAACGTGGACTGGCTCGAAACCAACAAGGCCCACATCTTCCGCGTCGAACTTCCCGGTCGAAATAAAAAAATTCATATATTTCAAATTAACTTAAAATTCCTTATTTTGTTTATTTTATCTTTTATATAAATTAACTTGAACCACGAGATAGGATTAATTATCCATCTAATTACCGTTATGCCCGAAATCCAAAGGGAAGCAACAGTCATAGGTTGTGTAGTGGGCGTGTGTGCTTTTTTCTCAGAGGGCTGCGATCTGGTGCGGCTAACCCTAGGGAAGCTGAGCGGCTTACTGTATGGTCGCAGGGGTGAGAAGAGAAGACGTGAAGGTGGAGGTGGAGGATGACGTCACGCTGCAGATAAGCGGGGAGAGAGTGGTCGGGAAGGATGAGGAGAATGACAGGTGGCACAGGGCCGAGCGGCGCGTGGGGAGCTTCTCGAGGAGGTTCAGGCTACCTGAGGATGCTGACGTGGACGGGATAAGGTGTGGGCTGGAGCACGGGGTGCTTACGGTGGAGGTGCCCAGGAAGGACGTGCAGGAGCAGTCAAAGAATGTTCGTTGCATAGACGTTGCTTGAATTTAGGGCGCTCTCTCTGCCTTTTGCTTTGATATGTGTGTAATGTAATATGATTGGTGTTTTCTTTTTCTTTTCGCTGTCTAGAGACGTTGTGAAGTATCTCTTGATATGCTTTTTGTAAGTTGCATCGGTTTAATAAAACATAAATAGTCCACTTTGATGTAAAGAATCGATATCAAGTTGTTTAGATGAATTTGGTTCTTCCTCTGTTGGTCAAAATTTGATATAAAAGATTGAGAGATGATATGGTCCCGTTTAATCGTTGGATCATCCTATCAGATTTTTACTAAAGATTATGGTTGAGACGGAAAAAATATTGATAGAATTACTAATTGATAGAAAAAATAGTGTACGTATTTATTTTCTGCCTAGTAAATGAAAATTGATGACGAACTGACAGATTACATTAGATATATGTGTGTACGTATTTATTTTCTGCCTAGCTAGAGGTTGCCATAGACTCGGCCCAGTCAAGTCCGTTGATCATGGGTTCAGGCCTGACTCGGATTTAACTGAGTCAGGACCTTGTTTTTTACTCTAGCCCGGCTTGGTCCGGGTCCGGAAAACTACATACTTTTGTTTGTTTTTTAAATTTTTTTCATTTTTTTTTTATCTAGACGAGCCGAGACCTGAATTGGGCCTGATTGGGCCCGGCCCGGCGGGCCTAGGTCCGTGCCGGTTTTGGGTCTATGATTCTGAGTCAGTCGGCCCACCGGTCTAGCCCGGGTCCAGCCAATGTTTTGGCGAACCGGCTCGAACCTTGGTCCTAGCTCTATCTAGATACTCTATCCAGAATTCAAAAACATCTTACTTACCTAACTTGCCTAACAAGAAATAAGTAACTAAATAACAAATATACTCTATCGACTAAACAACAGAACATAAGGAAAATAATAATAAAGGGCAAGGAAATAAATAAATATGCTAAAGTTGGAGTCGATCATATTTTTTTAGAAAAACAAATTGATTGGTCGAAAAAATTGTGTATGCTATATATTTAGAGAATCTTTAATGGTAAGATTTTGTAAACCTTACTTTTTACATTCCAAAGCTCCACATCATCCAAACCTCATTCTTACTCCTAATATAAAAAACCTCCAATAATCCTAAAACTCACAAACCTTCTTTTAATGGACCTAGCATGTTTTCCACTTACTATAATTTATATATCAATTTAATTTATATTTTCTAAATATTATTATATTTCATAGTTTTTTTTTTTTACTAATTACTCTTTTTATTAATACTAAATGTGAGTAAAATTCAACAAGAAAAATAATTATTTTCACAAACAAAATTTTTGATATTTTTAATAGAAATTAATTTTAATTTATTCTTTAATATTAATGTCAATAGTTTTCACATATAGAGAAAGAAATTGAAAACACAATTGAAGTGTTCGAAATTAAATTAAGAGACAATGGAAAGAAAGCTGAAAAATTGAAAGAAAAAAAGGAAAAATGGTTGGAGGTGGTTTGATGTGGTGGGCCCCTATAAACACGTTCTATTGAGCGCGTGTGATACAAATCTTCCAAATTCACCTTGGAGTGCAACACACCTCCTCTTTTTGCTCTTTTGTTGGTTTAAAGGAAATTAAAAAACACAACTTTGAGAATATAAAACTGTGTTACAAATGCCACCTTCAAACCTATACGCTTTAACCGAAAAGCTGCAGGCAATATTCTGAAAACCGAATCGGTCATCGAACCGGTAAAACTATCAGTTCAATGGTTCACTGTCGAACCGTTTTAATTAATATATAGTTTTTTATTTATTTTGTATGTATAATATATAATTTTATATATTTTTATCATTAATTTTTTAGTGTATAATGATATTTTTTAAAATAAATAAAGAAAATAAATAAATAAATAATCTTGCATATTCTAATTTTTTTAGCAACCTTGTTTGATTCCATGTGTAGGTTTATAATCAATATGTAGTATTTTACTTTCTTCATTTTTTGGGAAAAGATTTTTTGATGACAAAAAGCCCAATACTTTCACAGCATTAACAAAAAATTAAGCTAACAAAAATTGAGCACGACCCAAAACATTTAGCTTACAAACATTACCGGTTTTTTACCGGGTCGAACAGTTAATGACCGGTTTTGCTCTCCAGCGGTTCTATGCCACAAACCGGACCGGTGTACTTTCCGATTTCCAGTTCAACCGGTCGAACCGGCCGGCCCGGTCCGGTTTTCAGAACATTGGCTACAGGTTTACAATTTCAAACCTTACCAAAACGTTGCCGCTAAAGGTGCTCTTATTAGCGTATTTTTATATGCTTAACTTTGTCGCACTTATATATTTTTTGACATATTCATTTATTAGATGGATCCACGTTCTATGATACTTTTATGTCTTATTTTTAGGATATTGGAGTATTTTCGTGGACGGAGTGACAATAAACAAAATTTCAGTCCGCAGAGTACGGGGCTGCCCCATATTTTGCTACCAACAGAGTTGGTACCCCGTACCCAGCCCAATATAGGCCACATAATTTGGGCCCAAGAATGGCTTATTAGTACAAGGCACATAAATTGAGTAGCAAATGAAAAAGTGGGTTGCTAATCTTACATGGGCTGGAGTTTAATTGCACACGCATGAAGAGAATTAAATAAAAGGGAAGCAACACTTAAATAATTGGGAGGAGAATTCCACGCAAGCCCTATACTAATTGGAGGAGGAATTATTTGCGGGGGCAATGCGCTGGAAGGATTTATTTGCTGAGAGTATATTTATTTGGAGAACCATGTAGCCGTCACATTCACGCATACTTGGAGAGGATATTCACACAGAATAGAGAGCAGAAGGAGAGAAGATTCACGCAGAGAGTAAAAAGACAGGGAATCCAGCAAACGCGGAGGGAAGCCGCACCCATACACGAAAGGGGATAATGTTAAATCTATTTTGGGATTAAATATGTGTAATTGATACATTGGGTCATTATATTGTTTAGCTAAATTAAGTGATCAAATTATTGTACATTGGCTAAGGAACTTAATTTAGATTGTGGAATGATTAAATGTGGACACCCATTAATATTACTATTTGGTGACGTAACAAATAATAATATTAAACTTAAGGACCTATAAGAAATTAATTTGGGTCAAAATAATTAATGGGTGGAGTCCCCAGAAGCCGTGAAAATAAAAGGGGGCCCTTGAGATTCTTTATTAAGGGTTACGATAGAAACCGACGCCCGAACTACGCTCTTCATACAGTTTTCTCTTACGTCAGAGGAGAAGAGATCTGGTTCGCGGCCATTTGGAATATCTCTAAAATCCCAAATCTCCAATTCGATTCCAGTGCAATCAATCGATATGAATCCGTCAGGTGCGCTTCCGCTCTTCAGTTTGATTCTCGATTATTCAATATGAACGCTCTTGGGATTAATCGATTTATTTCAAATAAAGTTAAATCCAATTTTATCAATTGGTATCAGAGACTCATCATATTGGATATTAGGGAATCAATTTAATTTGATCTGTATGTGAAATCCCATATTTTGTTTCTCTGCCTTTTGCTGTGAAACGGTCAGGCTTTGAGATTCATATATTGTTTTGGATAATTGGATTCAAAATTTGGAATTGATATTTGCGGGCGATTTTCGATTCATGTGGATTTGATTAAAAGACTGAATTTGATTTATTTGCCCATGAAATCTTCACTCTGTCAGCCTTCGAATTTTTGGATCCATCAAATATTAAGGATTCACATTGTATGGTTAGTAACAACATGGATGAACTTGAATTAATTAATTCACATCATGTTGGATTTATTTGCTGGAATAATTGAAATTCAATGTTTGATATATATTTTGGTTACTGTGCAAATTGTATTTGGTAATCCATTCAAGCTGAATGTATTTAGAACCATAAGGATGGGTTGTTTGT